AAAGGAAGGTAAAGATGCAGAAATAGAAGTCACTGTTTATGATTATTTGGTTAATCAACACGGTAAGGTCGACTGGTTCCTTAGCCAAAAAGGAAATAGGTATAAGCTCAAGAAATAGTCAAGAACTGTTAATAAGATTTGACGAGATCAAAGACATTTCGAAATTCACAATACTTTGTGAGAGCTGTTTCAAAGTTCAAAAATTAAACATAGAACCTCTGAATCAACAGAATGACGAAGAAGAAAGATACAAAGCAGTCTGTGTAAGCATGCAATGACACGATTGGCTAACTCAAAGTAATACCCTTGAGCAACCCAAAGCTCAATGAGTCCAGAGAAGTTCAAAGTAAAGCTCGATCTTCGTACAATGATGAATATGGTAGTCTCAAGCCATTACATTGAAAAGTTACAAAGCTGAACATTTAATGGATAAGAGCACTGGTCAGTTAGGCTACACGCAAGAGGCTAAGTTCACTTCTACTGAAAAGTACGTGGACAAGGTGCTGGGATTTACCGCCTAGTGCCAAACCTAAGTGAAGTTCAAGAACTCTGTTTATCCAAACAAGTATGGATCTTCATCAACCAAATCCAACTACAACAACAAAAAGAATCGCAACTCCTTTTGAAAATTTGGTGGGAGTTTGTGCCCAATTCTTATCATTTCAGACAGAAATGTGGGGAGCATGATCTTTTCACAAGCTTACCTTACTTACCAGAAAGAGTTCCATGTGGGTGTGAGGTTGGAGTCGTCTTGTGGTAGGAGGTTGGTGAAGATTGTGGTGCAGGTGAGCAGCAGATTGCATCATTATCTTCATGTTGAATTGAATGGTCACCACTCGTTATCTTGCTACAATTCATAACCATCATATCATACTTTGGTAGACCTTTTCGATGATGTGATGTGTTCGCCTCAACGTAGCTTTCCACTACCTTGACACCAGGATCCTTCAGTTCGTGAGCACGTGAGCGTGATGTTTGTGCGATCTTTTAGTAAGAGTTGGATGAAGGTTTGAGTACAGAAGGTCAGCGGATTGTATCATCATCTTACTATAATTCATAGGCATCACATCGGTTATTTTCCAATGTTATGTGCCGTCTCAACTCATCTTTTCACTGTTTCACTCCAAGACTCTTTTGTTGTGAGTACGTGGTTATTGAAACGCTTCTAGCAATCTGTTTAGTGTACTCTGGATTGGCACCCCAGCGTGGTCGAGGCGAGAATTGGATAATCTTTACACTTCTCTCGAAAGGTGTGTACTTTCATTTGTTTTAGGTTGATTACTTGAGAGTCCTTATTTCTATCAACTTTGACCTTGTCTTATTAGAAATCTGCAACTAAGCAAAATTGGAAAGGTGGTTCGAGCACTACAGTGATTCCCAAGAGATACTGCTTGTTGGGAAAGATGACTTCTCGTTTTCTGCTTGCTTGACTCGAGCTTTGGGATCTACTATTAACATGGTAGCCACTTCCTTTGAAATCCCGAGGTACAGTTTTCAAATGAGTTCTTTGGTTGGCAAAACACTGGAGTAGTTGGTCACATTTGGAAGAATTGAGGAGGATAAGATGTTTGATACTGGATAGAGTTTTTGACGACAGTTTCTGTTTTGTTCGGTTTGAGTACGCCATTTTTGCGACATGGTACGAGAGCTCTACAGGCAATACTGGTTAGCAAAGGAGTATTGTGAACTAGTATTCGAGAGATTGAATTTACGACGCGTGAAATTGTGCACCCTCAGCAAATTATTGCTTGCTTATCGAGACAACAAATGTGTGATCGATATCACGGGCGGCCGACTGTGGTATTGAAAACTTATTCGTTGGGTTCGTTAAGCAAGTGGGCAGAAAGATTCATCTTCAGCAGTTGGTACGGATTTGCTATTGTTAGGACTTGACCTAGAGACGCATCTTTTCTCGGAGTACGTGACGTTCGTATGCTTAGGCGAGACCCACTCTCATTTTTCAGTTTTGAGTTCAGTTTTGATTTTCAGTAAGTATTTTAACTTCCTTTTCTTTAATTATTTGTTTTTGACGTTACAAATGTTTTGGGGGAAGTATTTCCATTTTCAGTTTTAAGTTAAACGCGAGTTTTCGACCTATATGTTAGTACATATCTATTTTGACTATTTTGACGCTATAGTATTTTGCGTACTTATTTTTTTTAACTTACGTCTATGTATGTTTTCAACCTTATATCTTATTAAAGTATGTTTCTACTTTTACACTGATGGGGAAGAAAGTAAGAGCTTGGAGGCATGATAGAGGATTTGGCAAACCGCTCGCGACGGTGTGACATTTTCTCTTTGATGCACCCACTCTGACTTGAATTTTCATTATACATATATTCTTCTTCCTATTTTCGAGTATTTCGGTTTAAGTTGTGATTTTAAATTTCGGGACGAAATTCTTTTAAGGGGGGTAGATTGTAACAACCCGTCCCGAAATTTACGTAAGAAAATGGGTATTTTTGTATTTTCACTAAGTTTGGGGATACCTTTCTTTTAAAAATTGTTTTTGAGCCTTAATTGGTGAGCCCAAGGGGCCCACCCCCTGTTTTTGTTCCCCGGTTTTTCCCTTTCCCTTTTCTTTTTTTTTTTTGAAAAGTCTCTTCTCTCTTCTCTCTTTCTTCCTCCATGCTCTCTCCTTCCCCCCCCCCCTCTCGGTCCGACAAGAACACACCCACACACACACACACACACACACACCCATGCCCACGCCTATAACTCTTTTCTAACCCCGTGGATGTGTTTTGGGACGTCAAACCACGAAGAAACCACCTCGGGAGACATTTCTCAGTTTTCCGGCGAGCACCGCCCCTTTCGAGGCGATTTCCGGCCAAACCACGGCGAGTTGGCCGGCGTGCGAGGTATCAATCTCTTCGTCTCGCTGAGTACTACAACTTTCCTTTTTGTTTCACCTAATTTCATTGAGTATTGAAGAAGTTATGCTCATTTGAATCTTACCCAGTTTCCGGCGGACACCCGTGGCTTCCAGGCTGTTTTCCGGCCAACTCAGGCCACAATGACGGGAACCAAGGGTATATTTCGATTCCTTACCTTCGGGGCTTCAATTTGGTATATTGAATGACATGTTTTGGTTGAGTTTTGAGCTCCAACGGAGCTTGGGAATTCTCCGGCCGAAATCCGGCTTTCCCCCTCCTTGGAATCCGGCGACCACCAAACCCAAAGGCCTTAGGGCCTTGGTTGCAGCCCAAACCCATATCCCCTTTTTAATTAGGCCTTAGGGCCGTGTGAACCAAGCCCAAAACCCTTTTTAATTTGGGCCATTGGGCCGTGAGGTTAAAGCCCAAACCCAACCCACCTAAGACCCAAACCCAATTATCCTAACCCAAACCCTTTAGGCCCAACCCGGATCCAACCCAAGTCCAAACCCAATACCCAAACCCAATTCACCTAAACCTAAACCCATTTACCCTAACCCAAACCCTAAAGCCCAAACCCGTGGCCCTGACCCGTTGACCCGGACCTGACCCGTTGACCCGTCAACGGTCAGCGTTGATTTTGACCGGTCAACGGTCAACGTTGACTTTGACCTCCGGGTTGACTTTTTCGGTTTTCGTGCGGGACCCCTCCTAGGCTAATTTCGACGTCCTGAACCCGTTTCCGGTGTCCGTTTTCCCAAATTCAATCGTTTGAGTAGTGTTTGACTAAATGTGCCATTTATGTGCTTAGGGGCAGTTATCGATGGCGTTTCCTTCTTCGCTAGATGACGTGGCTTTTCGACGGCGAAGTACTGTGAGTGGACCCCTTCTAAAAATGCATGTTTTGATAGTATAAATGCATACATGAAAAGCATGATTTGATGATTATGTTTTATGAAACGTTTTACGAGATAACATGCTTACTGAGGCTAGTTTGAATTATTACTATTTTTCCTATAACCCATGTTCTTGTAGAATATCTGATGGATGACGATATGATATTTAGAACATGTTTAGAACACCTCTTTATAGTATAGATGATGGATGACTTTATACTATGAAGTTGATTTTCAATATATGTATGTTCACTGGTTTTATACCTACCTAGTGGTCCTTTCCGCTACGGGACGTAGGGATAGATCCAGTCCGTCCCGGGCGACGGTTTGGTGTTGGCATAGGGCCTGGAGTGTGTTTTCCTCTGACTGTCTGCTCAGAGACGGGGAGCCGGCAAGGGGCCTGAAGTGTATTTTCCTCTGACTGTGTGCTCAGAGACGGGAAGCCGGCATGGGGCCTGAAGTGTTATATCGGACATTCACTAGTGTTTATTATTTATGCGAATTATGATTTGAGGCATTGCACGACATGCTAGGTTTCGGAAAACCTATGTTTATCATTATATATGTGTTTTCATAAAACCTGGGGGTTAGTATGTTGATAACTGTTTTATTATATATATATGTCAACTTGGTCCACTCATGTTTGTTTTGCGCCCCCTTCAGGACTTAGAATCGAGGCATACAATCCCGACGTCCAGGCACTTTCCGCATCGGCATCTTCGAGTCCTCTCGGTGTAGGACCCACTTCTTTGTTTCATTCAATTTTATATTATTTTCTTTTAGTGTTCTAGATTAGTGGTGTGCTCTGAACACGGTCCTTGTTTGCATATTCATTATTCTTTTATATTTATAAACCTTATTTATCCTTTATTTTCAGCATTTGCACTTACTAAATGGCTTTCGTCACCCTCGGGTGTCGGCCAGCACGTGCCTATCCTGGTATTCGGGGAATATCGGGGTCGGGGCGTGTCATGAGTAGGAGGATAATAGGGGGAAAAGATAGCGTTTTGGAACAAGGCTTTTTTGAAAGGTAGTTTTCTACAAGGGCTACTTGAATCAAATTTTTAAAAAGAAAAAAAACTTTTGAAAAGAGAGATTGTTTTTTTTACTTTTTTACGTAAGTGTGGGCAAGATGTCCCAGAAAAAAATAATGGGCTAGATGTCCAAAATCCTCATGGGCCAATGGCCCAACAAGGTATAAGGTAGTTAAAGGTCCAATTAGCCCGCCTTTCCGCGGGTTCTCTCTCCGTGCAACGAGCTAGGGTTTATTATTCCCTAAAACCTCTCTCAGATTTTTAGCCATGGCGAAGAACAGGAACAAGAAGAAGAAAACCGGCGCCGCTTCAATGGACATCGCCAAAGATCCCGTCTCAGATCTGCCTCAAGGTATCGAATTGGAAGAAGACACACGAGAATTTGGAATCATTTTTTTTATAATTCCTTCAAATTCCATGGTTTTGAAATTTGGATTTCTGATCGTTTTGATCTTTGTGCAGCAATGGATACGTCAGAGTCTGGAGCTCATAACCCAAGTGCTGCTGCTTCCAATTTGTAAGTATCAACTATAAAAAAGCAGTCAATTTTAATTTTTTTAATTTTTTGAAGAATTCCAGACTGCCAATCAAGACCACAAATTGAAACCCTAAACCTTAATCACAAGTCAAGGCATGATTCCATGTGAATGAATGAATTGATTAACACTCTGATAAAGTATGCTAGATTCTGTGCAGGATTGAGATGGTATTATTGTATGGTTATGTGTGAGATTAATGGGTTTTAATTTTAAAAAATGAATATATATATATATATATATATATATATATGGAGACTAAATTTGCAAACTAAATGATGTGTCATCAATAAAAATAAGCACGTTAATCAATAGTTAAGTAATAATCTAATCGTCAGCTTTCATGTCATTTAGTATACAAAATTTAGTCTTCCTAGCATTATCCTGTATATGTGTGTGTATGTATGTACTTATGTCTGTATGCATTCAATGCATGTTTATCTGTCTTCTTCTTTTGTGTGAGAATATCGGTGTTTACTTTATAAAATGGTGCAGAATTTCAAATTTTAATGAATTAAGCTTGGAATTTATATTGTTTTGGTTTACACGGTAGATGTTACCCAATTATGTGCATATTGCGAGTAATTCCAGAATTCTATCAGAACATGTCTTGGTTGAATGTCGTATGTATGAAAGTTTTGTTAAGTCCTTAGGCGAGATTGTTCCTTAAATGGCTCAGATGGCTCGAATGGTTTTATTATGGACAGTGATCAGTGGCATTACTGTCAACTTATGATGGTTTTCTAGTCCCAAGTTCTTCAACAGAGGGTATCTCTGCTACTCTCATTATGGAGTATTTGTTGCATACAAGCTAGCACGATTACTTATTTTCCTGTTTTGGGGCTGTGAAAATCAGTTTTACCACATTACTATGTTTTTGGGGGTCAGTTGAGCATGCTAGAATTGGTAATGAGGAGACTTGTTTTTGTCGCTAGGTGATACTGCTCTGTGACTGTTCATGTCACAGGTGCAGGAATATAGGGTTCAAATCATGGGAAGAGATTGAGGAAGGGAGGGTTCATTGATGCGTCACGTGATTGTGATTTGATTATGTTTTGTCCTTTGAAAATAGGGTCAAGTATTTAGTATTTTGGTGGCTTCGTAGTTTCTTTCCCCTTCGATTGATGTTTTATTTGTTCTTTCTTATGAACTCTTTCTGTGATGTCTTAAGTTGTCTGTTCAAGTTACTCGTTTATGTTTTTGTAATATGCCTTTTTCTGGTTTCGTTTTATTTCTAAATCCTTTGTTTTCCCGAAGCAATCTGTTTTCTGTTTCGTACACCTTTTTAATCGTGAAAATTTCTGTGACAGAAAGATAAAGGGAAGACAAATGAAGAGATCAAAAAATGCTCGAAAGAAAAAAGCCGTAGTGAGAGCTATATCTAAAACAGAGAAGGCTGTTGAGAAAGTTAAGAAGCATGAAAGCAAAACCTTGAGAACTCAATCTGCAAAGTTGCTGTATGACTGATTCTGGTCGCCCATATTGATAGTATTAAGATTCAACTTTTTTATGATCCCTGTATCAGTTTCCTTTTAAGTTTCTTTCCCAATTGATATTGACAATGAATGTAATTAGATGGATGTTTTCGGGTCTTGACGTTGAAATTTTGCTAGTTGACTTGTACAAGCATGAAAGCAAAAGACTCGTGCCGGACTCTCGTGTGTCTGGTCCCTTCTGCCTCGCAGGAATTTGGCATGAATTTGTAGAAGAGCAAACAGAAAACCATCTTAGTTCTAATTGATTCTTCTTGAGCTACAGAGCTAATCCCAGATCTTCATCTATAAATACTTTGTGGCAGGTTCGTCGTCTCCAATCCAGCATTGTGTTGTACACTTACCTTAAGCTAGAGCAGGCGTATCAGACGAAGCAGCCTTTATCGTTCCAATTTGAAGCTTTCCCTTCGGAAGCAATTCCATGTAATGTCACTGAACACCAGTTTGTAAGAAATATTCGGACAAGACATTAGGATCGCAAATTCAATAACCCTGTCTACAATTAATTAATTACAAACAACTTATCTGTAGAAGAGGTTTCCAAATTATATGTTCTTACTATGAATAGAGTTTAGCCCATAATAGAACGATTATTTATAGGAAAACTAATAAAAATGGCTTGAAAACTTTGAATTGTAACAATAAGGACAAAATAAAAAGTAAAGTGAATAGTACCAGGATTGACTTTTTAGTGTAAAAATGTGGTTTTTCGTTAAAGTGAATAGTACCGTAGGCTTTTCGTTAAAACTTCCTTATTTAGTTCATGTACAATTTGGGTTCTTTATATCATAAATGACGAATCAAAATGTTTAAAGAGGCATTCCATAATTTTCACAAAACAATCCACCTTTGAGATTGTTATGGGGTGCACAAAGGGGAATTGATAGTGTAATAAATCATTGACTCCATTCTACGGGAAAAAAAGAGGAGAACTTCTTGAAAAAACACTACCGTTAAGTATCAAGTTCTACGACACTGAAGAAACACATGCTATACTTCCAGAAAAAAGTTTGAGCAATCTTCAACAAAAGCGTACTTGTACATGAAACCAACACAGGGGATAAATGTGAGTTCTTTAATACAGTTGGTATTAGAAGAGAGGAATTAAAGACAATTTCTTAGAATTTCAGCTATAAAGATAATGTTCTTAACCATTTGGATAAGCATCTCAATGGTGGTGTGTCTCAGTTAACTAATGCTAAAAAGTAATACCAAAGTTTAACAATGTGAGTCAATTTGGAATTTGCTTCTAGAATAGTTAAAAATAATTTTTGGCAACAAAAAAAAGCTTATGATTATGACAGAAAAATCTAAAAATGCTATTAGCTCATAAAAGCGCTTTTTGAAAACACACCTACACTTAGAGCTTTTAATAAAAACATCACGTGTGTGTATACTAAGGTCGCTTTCTAACATAAGCATTTACGAGCAAAAGTGATTTCTTAAAAAGTAATTACAACCAATGTCTGACTATTTTTATAATTCATGCCTCTATACACGTCTGAAAACAACTATTGGGCCTCAAATGTGTCGGGTGTTTCTTGAGATGCCCATTAGCCTAGTAAGCCCATATATGGTGATGTTATTTCTTCCAAAGTTTGTGTTGATATTTCTGCCAATGATTGCTTGCTTGCTTGCTTCCACTGCTGCTGTGTGAACCAAATCCGAAAAATTTGAGGTAAAAGCAAAAAGCTTTGAGATTTTCTCTGCTCAAATCCACCAATGATTGAAAATTTAGCCGAACAATTTTCTGGGTTCCCGATCATTTCTTCCAGTGTTCAATTTTTGTGTTTTGAGATTTCTGTATGCAGATGAATTTGGCTATCAACAATTGCGGCAGTTATGGAATTAATCCTTTCACAATTTCAAGCTGCAAGGGTGGCCAGAAAATCAGTCACAGTGAGTAAACTGTGATTATAATTTTGCATGTTGGGATATATTATCAAGTTCAAGCGCTGAATCTTTTGTATGTATTTGTATAGATTTCATGTGGGTTTTACTACTAAATACTAATTAATGCATGTTGTGGCATTTTTATTGTCTCCCAAATTCGTGTGCTGAAGGTAAAAAATATATGGTGCCCAGCAGAATGCTGAAGGGACCTGCTTCTACTTCTACACCTCAGGATGCTTGCCAAGATTCTGCATCATTGGCAAAGACTGATAGAAGCAGCAGCACCAGCAGCTTCCCAATTAAGACTTTCGTAAATTCCATGGCAGGTAACAAGCCTTCGTCCTTTGCAGCTTCGCTTAACACGGATTAACTTCTGTTTCTATTGCCTCTGTTTATTTTCTCCCCAAGAAGTGAACTTTCATATGATTAATGAATAGAATAGGTCTAACTTCAAACGTAGAGACGTATAATTAGCCGGGAGCTTTTTGATTTCCTTTGTCTTCTGGATACCATTCACAATTCGTGACTATTTATACTCTTCGAACTGTGAGAAATTAGCTGTTGTTTTAGCTCACTCGTTTCCTGATGGTTTTTTTTGTGGGGTTCGGAAGTTTTTTTTGTTGAAATTTGAAAGTGTGTTAGTTTCGAATAAGTTATGGAAATCTTCCATTTATATTTGTGGTTTGGCTATTCATTTTAACATTTACGTTTTATTGATTCACTTGCATATTTATATAATATACATGTAGATAATTACATTAATTAACAGCCATGGCACGAAGGAAATCTTCCATGTTACCTGTGATTCTCAGTTGATTCAAAGCGATTGGATGTACTCTATAAACTTTCTTGTAACTGAGTTGGTTTTTTGTTTCTCATTTTTCAGCGGCGAATTTGGTCTTTGCCGACTTGGCAAAGGCTAGCACGGAGAAAATGTTGGTGAGAATTTGCTTAATTGCTGATCCCATTATACCTTCTCAGTATTTTTTTTTTCTTTTCAAAATTTCAGTATCATTTTGCTGCACAGTCCTTATAGTTTTTGTAGTTGTGTTGTTTCATGATGATGGTTTAGATTGTCAGTACCTGGGCCAGAACTACTTTTAAAGTCTGTATCCTAGTTATAGTTCTCATATATAATCTGAGGAACTAGAATTCTTTTCCAAGTCAGGATGGTGCTGTTTCAGTATATACCTTGGCTGATGGAGGCCCCGGAGAATGGTTTGGAGGCTTCCTATTTTCTGCTGGACAAGATGCTAATGAAGCTGTTCAAGACCAGCTATCAGCCCTCAGTTTCTCTAGGTTCAGTCCCACCTTCACGTCTTCATTTACGATTCTATTTTTGATGATTTACTGCCTTGGAATATGCACTGTTTGCCATTGCTTGTTCGTCTTTGCAGTTTGGCAGTTATCTTTGGGGCTGGGCTTGTGACCAGCCTTTCTCCTTGTACTCTTAGCGTTTTACCTCTGACCCTAGGTTACATAGGTAAGCATTTATGTCTTTTATTTCATGGATATGGAGACAAATGGGGGGAGAGGAGTCGTTTTGCATTAAGATGGACAGTGACTCTTTTGCATATATCATGCGTAATGCTTATATGAATTTATTTGAATCATACAGGAGCATTTGGCTCAGGGAAAAGCAAGGCAGAGGTGATAACTTGCTACTTTTGATTGCCTTTGTTACTCTCTCTTTCTCTTTCGCTCTCTCTCTCTCTGACAGCTGACACACACATATTCCTATAGCATGAGGTTAATGTTCCTTTATTGGTCAGGTTCTTGGGAATTCAATTGCGTTCTCCTTAGGATTGGCAACTACACTTGCACTCTTAGGCATAGGAGCCTCATTTGCTGGAAAGGCATATGGACAGACAGGGCAGGGGTTACCTTTGACTGCTTCAGGTTTAGCTATTATTATGGGCCTGAATCTCCTTGAGGTATTTATTCATGTGCTAACATTTTGTATTTTTTATTTTTGCCTAGAATGCGCTTAGTTTATTGGATATTATCTTTCACTTTGATTGCCTAGTCTTTCTGATTATATGCTATCCCTTAGTCTTATGCTATCACCATATGGGTTGATGTTGCAGGTAATTGAACTACAGCTCCCCTCATTTTTTAGCAATTTTGATCCCCGGGCTGCTGCTGCTAATTTCCCTTCAAGTAACTACCCACCATAATGTTATAGACTTTTGTGGTTTAGATAAAAGCTGGTTGTCCAACTGATCTTACAAGTTTCAACTTGAACGTATTAGGTGTGCAAGCATATCTAGCTGGGCTTACATTTGCTTTAGCTGCCTCGCCATGCAGTACGCCAGTGCTGGCCACTCTGCTTGGATATGTTGCTACGTCTAAGGTAAACTCAAATGTTTGATGGTCTTGAATTTCTTTTTAGCTTTCAGTTTGCTTGAGATTACTGATAGCAAAAGCAGTAGCTTTACATTTGTGCATGCGTTAATAGCCTGGCATATTCAGAATCTCTTACTCTTGAAAGGAGATAGATAGATGCAGAAGAATCTTTAGATTTTCAGTACATGTTCTTCACTAATGCTTGTGAGAGTCGGCTGATGCTCTTGGACTCCCTCAAACCCTTTGTTAACTGGATGTTATGGATGATCACATTTTTGGAGTAAAACTTCATATTTTATTGGTGTAGATCAGTTGCAGTTAGGCAGATGATGTAGGAGGGTCATTGTAAATTCCTTCGATGTTGCTTATTGGTCTCAGTCAATCATCTCTGGAATGTCATATATAAGAAATTTTTTTATCCATCCTGATATCATATTATAGCATGCAAATTCAAAACAGTTGATGCTCTCAGTACTCTTTGCCAGCTTAAGTTGTGCCTTTCGCAGTTTATGTACATACATAGCGGATATTTTTAGTTTAAGTGGAGAAATTTTATTACAGAATCCAGTGATAGGAGGCAGCTTACTTTTGACATACACAAGTGGTTATGTTGCTCCTTTACTTCTTGCTGCTTCTTTTGCTGGAGCACTGCAGGTATGTGGTCTAGCACCTTTTAGATATGTTGTAAGTTCTGTTAGAACATAACAGTTAGTGAATGCTTCCGGTATATTTCTTTGCTATTGCGTTCTCCCACCTGTGACGGGCCTCATACTAAAAGATTCAAGACTTATGTGTGAATGTCTCTGGAAAGTCTGCCTAGCAATGTTGGCAACTTTAACCTTCCATTTCATCTGTAATTGTGAGTTGAATATTGAATGAATTTAAATCACAAGAAACAACAAAGAATGGTTCGGAAGTCTGGAAAAGAAAAAAAAAATCAGAAAGAATATGCAAGAACACAATAATAGAAGTCATATCAACTGACAAAAAACTACGTTCATGGGAACTCAAAATGAGATCATAATCATTTCTGTGGAAACCTATGCATTTAATTTTTTGTTTCAAAGTCGTGATTAATTAAGAGTAAATAATTATCGTATTCTGCTTCAAGGATTTTTCCTTTTTCCTGAGCAAAACCTATATATGTTTTGTGCAGAGCCTACTTTCATTTCGCAAATTTTCAGCATGGATAAACCCAATCAGGTAACACTTAACACCTTTCCTTGTTGTTTTTAATTCTTCGAAAACTTGTTAGTACATTTGAGTTCCCCCAAATTATAGGAACTAAGCTCCATCATTAGTAATCGACTGTTGAGGTGGTATATATTGTACAAGTCTGTCAACTTTCAACCCGCTTCCAGTGAGCACTTTGGTGATTCTCGGGCCATCACAAGGCAACTAAGATGTCTTATGAGCTATTTGCTCATTTCTCAAATACCCGGGGTCGCTGTCCGACTTTCACCAACATATTTGAATTTTGTTGTTTGAACAGCGGTGCACTTCTGTTAGGAGGGGGTGTGTATACTTTCTTGGATAGGCTTTTCCCAGTTACAATGGCAATGTAGAGATTTGCTCAATGAAATAAACGTCGAAACACTTCCAGAATGGCGGCATTAAGTTCTTCTTTGAACTCCGTTTGCTCGCGGTTTCACTTGTACAGGATGCAACAGTTCTAGTTATGTGTAAATCTATACTAAAATTGCATAAGATGGTAAGAGTGAAAATAATGTGAATCCTTTGTAAAGTATTCTGATTTCATCATTCAAACTGAGGTAAATAGGAATCCTCTACGGAAGACCATCAGCAGTCAATTGACCGAATCATTTTTTTTTTCTTTCGAATAAACAATATTATTTACACTAAGGGGAAGGGGTGGGTTTAACCTTATAATGAATTGGCAATAATGTAGTTTAAATTCATTTTTTGCGAAAATCAAACCTAAGATCTTTTACTTACAAATAAAGAGAAATATCATTAGGTCGTAATACTAAGTGGCTTTATCAAATCATGTTAGTTTTGAACTTAATAGGAAGAATAACGAACTTTTTTCGTTCTCTTGACAAAAGAAAGGTGTTAAATGACATTATGGCATGAGAGGTTTTGGATGTTGGCCATTAGGTAGAGATTCTTAGCCATTGTTAAGAGCTCATGGGTGGAACTTGCCCTAAAAACCGAGCAATACCTGGCTACTTAAGAATGAGTAGGAGCTTTGAGCTTTGTGCTTACAATTAGAAAACTGTTTATAATATTAATCACTTGTAAAGTCATCTTTGTAGAAAATGAGTAAAAGATTAAGGGGGCGTTTGTTTGCCCTCACTAAGTTGGACTGGACCGGACTGGACTAACTATTAGTCCAATACTGTGTTTGTTCCATGCTGGGACTAACATTAATGAGACTAAAGGGGACTAGCATGGACAAAACCCTTCACTAAGAGGTCTTAGCGAGACCCCCCAATAACCATGGGACTAGCTAAGACTATCCTCTCTTTCTCGTCCTCGTCACGCTCAACGACCACTCTCAATAGACTCATCGTCATCTCCGGTCACCTAGATCAATCATTAACTTTCCGACTCTCTTTCAGATCCATTTCACAACTAACTTTCATACAAAATATACCAAATTGAAGTTGGGAGTGACAAGATTACGATTTTACCTGAATCGAGGCCAAAATGTGGTCGAATGTGGCTGGAAAATGGCCTGGAAGTCTCGGCCTGTTTGGGCTTCTTCAAATCCATGACCGATTCGAGCATTCAAAGCTAAGATCTCGGTCCAGGGATGGTGATGAATTTTTTGACGGTGCTAACTTCATCCAATTTAACGAGGAAATGGTAGGAAAAAATGAAGAAAAAGATAAGATCATAATAAAATATTAATAATTTATATATTAAATAATATAATATTATAATTTGTTATTATCCAGCTTCTTAGTCCAATACTGTACCAAACGCTTCACTAAGTTAGTCCAGTTTAGTCTAGTCTAAGCTAGTCCAGCTTAGTCATTGAAGCTAATCCAGTCCGAAATAGTCCGGCGCAACAAACGCCCCCTAAGATTGTTTAGTCAATCTATTGAAGCAAATACTTAGACGGTCCACAAAGTTTTTACCAATTCCGTTCATCTATTCTTATAAAACTCGATGACTAAATAATCTTGGTTTTAAGTGATTTTTTTTGCAAAGAAGATCTTTATAAAGTGACTTACAATATGAATGATTCTGATCATAAATACAAAGTTTCAAATTGACAACGAACAATTCTGGGTAAGAACTCCTACTCATATTTTGAGTAGCAAAGTATTATTAGCACCTAAGGAAAGGGGCGCCCAATAACTCCGGAACTCGTATGATGTATTTTTTTCTAAAAATGGATACGGTTTCCATACACCGCAAAATCGTCGACGTATTCTGTCGATTGAATTGGCCGATGGTAGCCATTTTCTTCTACTATTGACACAAAGGAGAGTGAAAACGATGTCTAAATTGTGTAGGCCTGATAAGTTGATAACCTTCATATTAGGAATTGGGAAAAATGACATCATTAATCAGAAACGATGTGGTCCACGAAGATGGCAACTGTATAATACAAGGTAAGGGAAGCCCAAACGGTGGATACTGGTGGAGTCTGCAGACTCGACTATTTCTTCAAGTCTGAAATGGAAGATTTTCTAGGCCAGCCAAAACAAAATTTCCAATATTTTTTATTTACGTGGTTATAAAAAGCACTTAACAGATTAGCCACTACAAGTACGTGGAGGTGTACTTTTTTCTGAAGTGCTTATCCAGAAGCAGAAACATTTTCCAAGCTTTTCGGCCACATCCACTGTGCCAAATTTAGGCTAAATATTTATTGGGGTTAGACTTACCTCACCACCCACCGCCTTCGCAATTATGATACTAACATGATGTCTTCTTCTCTCCCTAGGGTTTTACTCCGTAAATGTTTCATGATCTCATTATCTCATTATCTCTGCATTTGAAATGCTTTGGCTGCTGTGATTGATGAAAGGAATTCAGAGTAGGGCTTAGAACTAGACGAAAAATACTTGTATTGAAAGCATTATGGGCACGAGAATGATTGGGTATGCGGTAAATAACTCCGTACGTTAATAGGATACTTGTCATTTTTTAGGCATGCCATATCAAACCAATAGAAGGCACTTAAGCCATCTCCAACCGAAGGATCTAGAGGGTCGAAAAATGTCCGAAAACAGTCTTCAACCGAGGGCTAAGCCAGAGGGCTTGTGAGTCCCACGAAATCTGAAAGGGCCGAAGGGACAACCGGCTAGCCACTTTCAGTGAGCTAGCCAGCCCGCTAGCTAGCCCAATTTCAATATTTTTATTTTTATTTTTTTGTTCTTTTCCATTAGCCGAGTCCTTTTTCTTTTTGTTTTGTTCATTTCCATTGCTCAGCCCACTTTAGGGTTTAGGGCTTAGTTTTTTTTATGATCCCAGCCCACTTTTTGTTTTTATGCCTAGCAGCCCTTTTTTTTTTTTTTTTTTTTTTTTAGTTTTTATTTTTCTTTTCTTACACCATTTCTCACATATTTTTCATTATTCCATAATATCTTACTTGATTTTATTTCAATTCTTTACATGCCATACTATAACCCTTTGGTCCTCAGTTGGAGACGGTTTTTTGTGATAGGGCTAAAATGAGCCCTATGACCATTTGACCCCCGGTTAGAGATGGTAAGCAATATTGCCTTGCACTGTTCATTAAAATATTAATTTCTTGAAGGGCCAGATGGTTAAAACAAACCCTCTGGCCAGCCTTCGGTTGGAGATGTCCTTACTTTTCAATCCATTAGTAAACACATGAGCAGGACTGATACTCATACTATTTAGCTTTATTTTTTTTTAAGTGAACGCGCCCTATAATTCTTGTATTTCTTTGTGTTTACTATACTAACACAGGTTATTAAGTACTTGCTATCGATAAATCAACACTTGAAAATTAGCAAGTAATTGATCTCATTTCCATTCCTCCAAGTCTCAACCTTATTCTTGATCTCCTCAAGAAGGTGTTTTGGTAAACAAATGAATCTAGAAGGGCTCACAGTCATAGCCAGAAGCGGATCCATCCATGGACCCGAGTGGTCTCGGGATCATCAAGGTCCGAAGAAACGCTTGTGAGGATCTATGAGAACCATCCAACAGTCTGGGCAAGTAGTGGAAGAAAGAAAGCTACCATGACTGTGTAGATGCTATGCAAGGGAAACTTTTCGTAAAGTACTATGAACTCCCAATGATCTTTCATCTCATACCATCAAATTCACTATAATACTAAAGAAAAAATTATGATATTTTTGTATGTCATATATATGTTAAATAATACACCTAGTTAAAATAACAAACGCAAATTCGCAATACAAGTATAGTTTCTAAGTGTAAATATACACTTGCTAGCTCATTTAAAATAATAAACGCACATTCTCAATACAAGTATCGTTTCTAAGTGTAAATAGACACTTAATAGCCCCCCCATCCCATTTGCGCTTACTGTACCTTGATTAGGAATACCCAATGTTAGAATTCTGAATCTACCAATACTGATCATTGACCTGAAAGTTTTTTAAAATTCGAATAATATTACAATTAACGTAATCTAATTCAAAATTTTGGACAATGAAACTCCAACTTAAGGGGAAAAAAGCATGTTGTCTAACCAATTTCGCTACACTTGAGTATGCAGATATTGATTTGGATTTCAAACATCTTTACAACTTAACCGTTGGAGTTGATTGCAATTTTCAAAACCCACAAGAACAACATTGCATGTTTTTATTTATTTATAATTATAAATACAAACAACAACAAAGCATATTCCCACTAAGTGGGATTGGTTATATGAATCCTAAAACGTTATTGCGCTCGATTCTGTGTCACGTCTTCCGTTAAATCCAATTACTCTATAAGTTTATAATTATAATATATATATAAAAAAAAAGATAACTAAACTAATGAGCCATTGGAGCCTTGGCCCCGCGGTTCACCATCTTCTGGTACTGATTCAACGACTCCTGCCTCTGCAGCCTCATTTCCTCGTTAAACTTGTTGATGAACGCCTCCACCCGCCGGTTCAACTCGTCCTGACTCAGCGACGGCTCCTTCCTCAGCCGCCCCGACCCCGACGACCGAGCGAGCGACGGCGAGTTCTCGCTGCTTCGCTCCTGGAACGTCTCCGACTTTTTCATCTGCGGGTTCGGAGGCGGAGAGTTCGCGCTGCTCCGCTCCTGGAACGTCTCCGACTTGTTCATCTTGGGCTTCGGAGGCGGCGTGTTCTCGTCTATCCCCTGTACGTGAGTGTCCCACGTGTCCGACTTCTTCAGGTGCCTTGCTAACGGCACCGACCGCCCTTCCGTTATCGTCTTCCACGTGCTCTCCAGCGTGTCGTTCCGCTTCGGCTTCGACACTCCGAACGACTTACCCCCTGCCAAAACAAACTCGTTAATTTACCATTGTGACATCGTCTACTCAAATTCTATGCCGGGCATTTCACAGTTCAATTACACTTCTGCACCCACACGACGAGGTCAATTTCGATATTTTACAATCAGAAATAAATTTGAATTTACACGATAATAACAAAAGCAAAATCCAGGCGGCGCTCTGACCACCGAACGGTTAAGCGGTCAGGCCAGTCCGGTTCTTTGTTCCTATCCGAATATTCCAAGGCTTATACGACAAGTCGTACACAGAGAAAGAGAGTGGTACCTTCATGGCTAGCTTTAACGGCTTTAACGGATCTTCTGTGACCGATACGAGCGGAAACCGGCGGTTTCTGGTTCTCGTTCAACCAGAACTCCATAGAGTCCTTCCTCTGCAAACTCGTCTTTACAGGCGTCGATACCGCGGCGGCCTCATCTCCGCCTTCAATCGCCGCCAGATCTTCGCTATTCTCCTCCTTCCCCTTCACCACCTCCGAAACCATTGGTTCTACTAGCACTCCTCCGTACGAATCCAACACCTTCGTCAGAACATTCTCATCGTAATCGGACTCGCTCGGAACGATGCCATCGTACGCTGTGTAGTCAGGACTAATTTGTGCGGATATCTTTGCTGTCGTCACGGGAGAGACCCTCACCAGCTCCGGCTCCGTCACCGGCGTCGAATCTTCGGGTTTGGGGTGGAGCTTGGAGGAGGCGACGATGCTGATGATGATACAGTTGATGATTATGTAGAGATACGGAGGTCTGAGCCAGGAGACGGCGGAGCTCCAGAGAGAAGGGACATGGGAGGTGACGGCGTCGGTGACCACTGGAGCTGAGAGTTTCAGCCCCACGGCAATGGAGACCACACCAGTGGATATCAGCGCAACCTTTAGAGTGAGTAACCAGGTGTTGCTCGTGCTCGTAGACATTTTTTTTCCGGCGACGCAGGTTGGGAATCGATCGGAATCTTACCTTTTCCGGCGAGGGCACTATATAGGAAGTTTAAGGAATGAGTGAAAGGGGTGAGGAGGACGATTATAAATAGGGGCGGAGGGGAGAGTGAGTTTTTGCGACGAAACGAGAATGGGTGACACGTAAGCATGTAATGGTTTCTTCCACGTGGCATTGGGGTTTTCGAATGCTAGGGAAAATGAGATGATTGAAACCATCGACATAAGTGATGTGACGGTTAATAATGGAACTTATTTTTTAATAATTATGAAAAAAAACACATTAATTAATCGCATATAATATGATCCACAATAGATTATAAATTTTTTGTCTCTCTTGCTCCTCCTTGAATATTAAAAAGATTTATATTACTAAAGTTAGAACTAATTGATAAAGTGCTAAATTTTGAGCTAGTTGATAAGTTCTATCATCTTACACTTACCAATGAGAAGCCATCTAACACATAAAATACCATCTCTTTCCTAACTAAATAGATTTTCTCTTATTTGACACTGCAAAGCACATGCTAATGAGTTAGTTAAGAGTGATAATTTTGAACACAACACGACCACAATTAACGAACCTAAAAAAAATATGCCGTTACCAATTAATACGCATGATGCTAATATCAACACAACGTTGCCAATTAATATGCATAACACTAATATCAGCATCAGTGACTCGATTTTGACACGACAAACACATTTAACTAGACTTGCATAACCCTCATTTTGGACATTGAAATTTGAAATCAATAGAAGTAATCCATGAGTTTGTCTACCATCAATCGTTTTGGTCATTCTGGGAGAATTATGTTGAAAATGATCAAAATGACAAATTACCCTTAATTAATAAATAATGTGCCCAAATGATTTGACAAAAATTGAGAGCATTTTTGTCATTTGATACTTATTTAATAGAAGTTTTTCATAGAATGACCAAAATGATTGATAGTGGACAAACTCAGAGATCACTTCTATAGATTTTAAACCCCAACGACCAAAGTAAGTACTTATGTCAATTTCAATGATTATTTTGACTATATATTTATGAATAATATCATTCATATTTTTAGTTTTATAAGCATCAAACCAAAAAAGTCATATTTATAAAAAATTAAAATAATAATAATAAATCGTTTTAAGGTTAAGTGGGTTTAGAATCATTACACTAGCAAATGTTATTATTTATTAACATTCCATTAAGACATGTTTGAGATTACTTCTGAAATCGTTAAAAATACGTTCTAACAAGTATTTTTAGTTGCGTTTGACAGAAAAAGCTAGAATTATTTTTTTATAAGTTTCTTATAAAAGCACTTCTAACCAAAGCACACAGAGCAAAAGTATTTCTCGCTAAAGTAGTTGCAAAACCCCGATACGAAAATTGTGACTTGAGGAGCACTTGATTTATCTATCCTATGATTTTTCAAGCTCAATAATTTAGTTTTAACAATTTAAGTGATGATCTTGGATACATAAATAAGAATTCAGCTGCCATTTCTTGGATTAGGGTCTCTCATACACAAAAATAGATGTGACTTTTAGCTGTTATTTCTTGGATAAGAAGTTTCGTGTCCATAAATAATCAGTTTCTACTTCTCCAGACCGTTCTGGTGGTGGGAGGTGGGACATGTTCTTTCCCTTTTTTTTAATTTCTTTGTTTACTTAATTATCATTTCATCATAAAAGTAAATAAAAAAGGTGATTAATTGTTTAATCTTTGTACAGGAAGAATTAATATTTAAAAGGTACCACTACCACATCTCAACGGCTATATTTTTATAAATGTGACCGTTAACTCCGGCGGTGTGTTGATCGTGAAGGATCCTAAATGCCCGGGTCCATGGGTATCGCGTTGGACCACTCACTCACTCACCCTTGGAGACTGGGTAATGGATTTTTCTTAATTAATCTTGAGCTTGCCCACACGCTTGCCACCCTACTTCATTAACCGACCGTGTTTAGAAGGTAATTAAGAAAGAATTCGTGAGTTGTTAATCTGTGACAGCCCGTCCCAAAAACAATTTAAAACGTACGTGTGAAAAGACAGTTTTGCCCCTAGTTCGATTTTGTTACGTTTTTGGGTTGTTTTTGTGTGTGTGTTGGCATGTTTTGGGCCACACACCTTCTCCCACACACCATCACCTCCCTGTCCCTTTCCCTACATCTGTCCCGAGTTCTCTCTCCCTTCCCATTCACCATATACGTACGGACATACACCCAAAACCCATCAAACACCCACATATCGAAGGAACCAAGCACACATTCGAACTCGTGAGGCTCGTGGGAGTCCAGTCGTACCATTTTCAGGTGAGAACTCTATCGTTTTCACGTCGTTTCGACGATGTCCGATTTGGGTACTATTCATGCAAACGTAATTTCTCACGTTTTAGGGGAAATGAAGCTTGTAGATAGCTTGGTGAGGTCCCAAGGAGGCTCGGAGTAGTTCGTTTGAAGAAATTGGACGTCGGGATCGTTGGTTTCGAAGTTGGCCGGAATTTGATTGTGTGGACAAGTGAGATCTTGTGGTTTTTAATCCTTAAAAGTGGTATATTTGTGTTCTCCTAAGTCTAAGCTTCAATTTGGTAGTAATTTCATGAAATTTGGACGAAAAACGAGCGAGATATCAAAGTTTAAAAATTTCCCAGTTTTCCGGCGCCGGAGGCTCGCCGGAGAAGGTGACGGAATATTCCTGACGCCGTTAACGGAATCTGTCAAAACTGACGGAATATTCCTAACGGCGTCAGTTGACGCCGTCAGCGTGCCAGGCACGTGCCTACGCGTGGCCGGCGCGTGCGGCGGTGGAAAATTTTTCTAAAAATATGGGTGTGATCCTGAGGTTGTGTAGAGCACGTTGGTATATTCAATTGTCCAATTTGAGCAATGTATGAGAAGTTATTACGAAAGGAAGGTTATGTGCTTTAAAATTAACGTTTTTATAGTATTTTCGCATATAGGTGAGACGTATCCCGAGGACGAGCGTGGTCACTCGAGGCAGGGGGCTACGACCCTTCCACTTATCAGTGAGTGGGCTTTTGGTTTTTCGTATATACCTATATACTATTATTTTCCCGGAAATTGATTTAAATGTTATTAGTTATATGCCATGTGTTATATTATCGTTCCTTATGCATCATTAGTGGCTTTATTAATCGTATATATATATGTATGCATAATTGGTGCTGTGGATGCACAGGTAAGTGCCAGGTAAACGTTATTTCATATTTGCATTCAATAGTGATTTGAGATACTTAAAGAGCTCATAACCTGCACCCCCGGTGTTAGTGCTCCCGCCCAGAGTAGGGCACAGTCCTTCACGTGTTGTTCACCTCCCGCACCACACACTCAGCTTGGATCCAAGTTAGGTGCACAGTCCTGTCGTACAGACCAATTTAGGTGGTTCCAACTCGTAGGTGACCTGTGATTATTCGCACAGCCTTCAGGTGATCGTAGCACTAGAGCGTTTATATGTATTACACCCAGGCCTGTCGTACAGACCACTTTAGGTGGTTCCGACTCGTGGGCAGGTTTAGTTATTGCTATTGAGATTTGAGCTCTAGATGCAGCCGTACAGGTCACGTTAGGTGACTCCGGCTGCCAGACTATATATCATTGATGTGATTTATACCTGAGCACTTGCATTTCATCGTGAGATTTGGTATGGCATACTATTGAGCATGATTTGGCATATCTATTTATACGCACATATGTTTATTTTCTGGGAAGTATACAGGTTTTACGGCGAGGGGTTAGAATCTTGTTTTTGAAATGGTTTTCGAAAAGCTTTGTTTTTGCCCACTCACGCTTTTGTTTTGCGCCCCTCCATGTTCTAGCTAGCTAGCAAGGTTGGTGGTGTCCCAGAGGGCTTTCCCGGCATTTCTGACAGACGTTCACCAGCGTAGGGCCACCTGCGGGTGTATTGTTGTCGTATCTTTTCCTTTTGGATTGCTCTAGGCATTTTAGCTCTGAACTTAGTGTCTCACTTACGCTAGCACTTATTACTTTTAACTTATGTATGCTAGTTTTTATTTATTCGTACTTTTACGTTACTATTTTATTAGCTTCCGCACTGTGCACATGGCTACGTCACTTCCACGTGACGGCCAGCACGCCCTGATCTCGTTCGGGGTGTGTCATAATCAATGTTTAAAATATTAGTCGGTGAAAATATTGATATGTAAATTTATGAAAATACGATGAATATATCGATATCAGTTGCATTTGATGGAAATGATGAATTTGCTAAAACGTGGAAACTTAAACAGAAATTTTAGAGAATACGATACGACAGTTTGTCGACATTTAACCGATATGCTAGATTTACCGAAAAAATATGTCGATTTTAGCCGAAATTTAAGAGTTTATCTGATATAGAGTGAAGTCAACTTCACCCCCTTTCCATATCTTTTTCTGATTAATCTCAACCAAATTGAAGAAATCTCAAACATTGATTGTGACACAAGGGAAGGCCAAATATGGTACAATAACCAAATTAATTAGAATGCAGCGAAAGCCATTAGCCATGCAAGATGCATTGCGAAAAATTTTGAATGGGACCGAAATATTGTCATACTATGTACTAATCTATGTGTTATAAAATTGTGACATTTTAGAAGTGTAAGATATATTATAATAAACTTATTATAACATAAGCTAGTTAGTATAACACTAATTCTTCCTCATACAATATTTACTTCTCACCTAAGAAACGAGCACTTACAAGCAACAGGATCCAAGAATGTATCTCCAGATTTCGTGAGAGTAGTATATGAACATATTGAATATAGGGCTTTTAGATCTAGGTCCAAAAACATAGTGTTTTTAAGAGTGAGTTCAATTATCTAATTATATGTTTTTATTTCTTTTATACTCATTTAATATTTTCTAAAAATATTAAAAATCAATTAAAATCTTTTAATATTATGCATTTCCAACCCCAAAATAATTATTGGATAGATCCTCCTTAATCTGAAAATAAAACTTTAGCCCCTCATAATTAATTTTCTCCACAAAAACTCAATATCATTTTTTTTACGCAA